AAGTTTAGGCTGTTTTGCTACCAGTGGTTACTAACATTTGCCTCCCAAATAAAACAGTATTGCCAATACTGTCCTAATTATTCTTTCATCTATAGCACACCATACCTAATATTTATGTATTTTCTTTAAATAGCAGGCAGTAGTTAAAAATTAGAAAAAAGACATGGTAAATTTTTAAAGTGAGGCACCATATATTTAGATATGTGATGAGTGACAGATAAAGTCTAATATTAATAAAGACAAAGTCTAAGATTCATCCATTACTATGCTAAATGTTTTAAATAATTAGGGATCTGTTTCTCCAAAAGAAAGTCAGCCTCTCATTAATTGTGAATTTAAACATAAACTTTTTTGCTTATAACCTGTACTTTTATGGATTCTTTATAATCTACTTTAAGCCCTTTATAGCTAAAGAATATAGATTTAAACATCTCAGGCCTATTGGGAGAGAATATATACCAATTTATGTACAAAGGATATAACCAAAATTAAAATATTTTTAAGCTTATGTGATTACTTATCCCATGGGAATTTTAGAAAATATCATGTTATTTAAAATTGAATTGAGGAAGCAAAATTGTGTCTGGGATCAAGATCCTAGATTTAAAACTATCCACAGACTACATTTAGAAGCAGAATTGTTACATGAGGAGTGTTAATTTAGTAAATGTATTTATCACTAATCTTGTTACCACTGAACTAGACAGGTATTTCAGGATGTAGAAATAATAGTCCCTCATTTTTGGAGCATAGACTGTGCATTGGACATTGTGCCAATAAGCACTTGATGTTTATTATTTAGTATTTTATTTAATTACGGTAACCTTGGAATAAAGATAGTATTTTAATAACATTTTAAAGATGAGGAAATTTACTAGTATTAAGTAATATGCCCAAAGTCGCAAAAAAGCCCCTAACCTCAGGTAGTTTATAAGTAAGGGAGGAGACAAGATACATAAGGAAGTTATTGTTAATGATAATTTTTAAAACATCTTTTACAAATCAATGTAAAATTATATGTCATACAGTTAATAAATGCCATGAATTAAAAGGAGTGTCTCTACCTCTAGAAACTTGAGTGTTAAATAATACATTAATTGCTTAATATGGAGCACTTAATATAAGTGCAAGATGGGTGTTATTATTCTATTTATTATAAATAGAATTTCTATGGATACCGAGGGGTGGGAGAAGTACCTATTGTGTATAATGCCTGGAAAATGTAAAATTTGGGGCAGAGAATGGAGATGGCCAGAATACAGTTTCTGTGACAGAGAGATAGTTATAATTGGGCAGATCAATTGTCACTTTGCCTAGAAGGCTTTGAATGCCAAGCTGAGCTGTAACTTAGCCCTCTGCCTTCTTAATGGTCCATCTGTTCCTTTTTAATGGTTCCATGCTCTGCTTACATACTTTCTGGTGACAGGGCTTTCATGAAAGGCACCCTTAGGAACAAATGTTTTCCTTTGGGTAATTTTACATATTAGGAAGTACTTCCTTTTATCAAACCAAATCTATTCAACTGTAGATTTGACTCACTGGCATTAGGCAAAGAGAAGGTAGCTGCATAGAGTGAACCCACATGGTAGATACGAGGATTGTGCTCATGCTTCTCTTGAGTTTTTTTAATACCCTGGGCCAGTATTACCAATCCTCACAACCAGAATCCATTAGGCTTGGCTTTGAATTCCTGTTATCCTGGTTACTCTCTTCTAAGAAAGTTTGGCAACTCTCCTGGAATTAAATTCTGATTTCTTCATATAACATTAAAACTGTTATTTTCAGTTTGTAATTTTTGTTTCATTTATAATTTCTAGTATTGCTTGGTCATAAATTTTTTCCTTGGAACTATGACTATTTAGATTATTAGGGTTTTTTATTTTGTCAAATCCAAATGAATAATTTAATCCTAGAATGAAAATTACTTCTGTTGTATGTTTCAGAAATTATTTAGTTATGGTCTGGGGATGTAGCTGTGTGGTAGAATGTTTGCCTAGCAAGTATAAAGCCCTGAGTCAATCCAGCACCACACATACACATGTAAAATTATTTTATAAAAATATTGAAAATAAGTCTTAATTGTATTATTTGAATACATTAATTATCCTTTTCATGTGTTAATCCCACATTCTGTGCCTTAGAGGTGGCTAAATACTTTTATATAATTATCCCATTTAAGCCTCATGGAAATCTTTTTTAATGATTTTTGGTATACTATAATTACACATAATAGTGAGATTCATTGTGACTTATTTGTGCATGCAAATAACATGATTTGATCACTTTATTCCAAAGTACCTCCCCTTTTTCTCCCCTTTCTCCCCTGATCTCCTTCCTGTACTCTGTTGGTCTCCCTTTCTTTCTTTTTTTTTTTTTTAATTAGTGAACTGTAATTAAACATAAAAGTGGGATTCATTGTGGTAAATTTGTACATGGACAGCAAAGTCTCATGGGAATCTAGCCAGCAAGGTACTATCCTCATTTGAAGTGTACGAAACTGAGGCTTGGAGAAGAAAAATAATTTATCACAAAACTTTTAAAAGGTGTCAATTTAACAACTAATCAATGATGTTTTTGCTTCTTTCCATTAATGCTTTTTATGTTGCCTTTACTGATAATAGTGTTCAACATTCCCATTAAGAGTATAATTTTAGACTTTTTTTTTTTTAGAGAGAGAGAGAGAATTTTAATATTTATTTTTTAGTTTTCGGCGGACACAACATCCTTATTTGTATGTGGTGCTGAGGATCGAACCCAGCGCCGCACGCATGCCAGGCGAGCACGCTACTGCTTGAGCCACATCCCCAGCCCCAAAGACTTTTTATGTATGATAAAAATCAAAGTGCTAGGTGTAATGATGCATACCTATAATCTCAGCAACTAAGGAGGCTGAGGCAGGAGGATCACAAATTCAAGGCCAGCCTGAGCAGCTTAGCAAGATCCAGCCTCAAAATTTAAAAAAACATGAAAAAGAGCTGGAGATGTAGCTCAGTGGTAGAGTGTCACTGGGTTCAATCCCTAGTACAAAAAAAAAAAAAAAAAGTACTGTAAGTTTTTCATTGTATAGTCTATTTTAACGGCAAGCATGTTCAAGTTTCTCATTAACCTGATCAGAAATAGTCAAAGATGATGGCTCTGACTCTGTTACACTAGAATTTGCAAGCACAAGAGTAAGCACAAGAGTTAAGGGTGGTGGGAAATGAGTTCAATGGAATTATGTTATGTCCATGTACAAATATGGCATAATGAATCCTGCTATTATGTATAATTATAATGCACCAATTAAAAAGAATACGGTACAATATTTCAAGAAAGTTAAAGTATCTTTAATATGATTTTTCAAAATTGTTTAATATCAGAAGTGCCCCTGGACTACCCCGGGTTTCATGTTTTACTAGAAGGACCTACACAACTCAGTATATAGTTAAACTCATGACTAAGATTTACTATAGCAAAAGAATACAAAACAAAATCAATAAAGGAAAAAGGTGCATGGGACACGCCTGTAAGAAATAAGGCTCAGGTTTCCAAGAGTCTTCTCCCAGTGGAGTCTTGTGGGACGTCCTTAATTCCTTCAATAAGGAGTTGTGGCAAACTGCACCAAGTGTTATCTACAAGATAAGCCGGTCAGAGTCTAAGTACCTAAGGTTTTTAGTAATTGCTTGTTATACGCATCAGAATTCCAAAGTCTCAGAAAGAAAGTATCTATATGGTATAGATTGTTTTTAATTAAAAAAAAAAAATGTTGAGGCATGGTAAGCCACTGTTGTCTTTGAGAGGAAGTTTTATTTCACTGTTGGGGACAGTTTACCAGTCAAGTTCCTATATGCCTAAGGTTAGGCAGTCACATATCTGCTGCATTAGGTGTCAGGAGAGATTCAAGAGGAATTGGGCAAATTAGATGCCAGAAGGGTTCATTTGGTAGTATAGTACACATAATTGAATTTGAAAATTCTTTTTATTGAAGTAATCTTTACTTAAATCTTTACTTATAATTTGAGGATATTTATTTTACTAAAGACATTAATATAGTACCTTATCTTTATAAGTCTTTTCTTCCAGCTATCAGTTTCAGTTAGTGAAGGAAGAGAGTTTCTGTGCATAGATTTATTTAAGCTACCAGTACTGAAAAGTTTAGCTGTAGGAAGTATTGTTTTGTTATTATTATTATTATATTTCATTTTAGAAAAATAACCACTATCATATTTTGTCATTTCAAAGCCTGTATTTTATAGTTTGGGCCACCTCAAATTGCTACTTCCTTTGGAGATGTTCTATGTAAAATTGTAAATAAAAAGTGATAATAAAAGTCATATGATTTTCTAAACCAAACCGGAACCAGCAGAGATAAGGTTTCTGTTAAGCATATAACTCTGGTTAAGAGAAAATAATGGTAGGCTAGAATCTTTTCTTCTTAGTGTTAGGAATCCAGAATACAGGACATATCATGTTAGGCAGGGTATGTTGCTTCTTGTTTATTCCTGTATGCATGGTGTAACATCTGGCAGTAGAGTAGGGTTTAGGTTTTACTGAATGAGTGAGCGTGCAAGTGAAAATAGTAACTGGTGAGGTATCAGGAAACAGTTCATAAAATACCAGAAGAATGTGCAGAAGGGGAAACATGGATGCCATTTCATAGAGCTTATGAGGGGCTCTCCAGTAATGTATTATTTTAATATAGATGGTTTTTCTGAAATGTTGAGATGGGCGATTCCTATCATTTAAAGAAATTGGTTCTATGTTTTTCAGTAGCCCACTCTCTCATGGTAAACCTTTTAAAGAGAGTTCCCAAAGGAAAAAAAAAAAAAAAAAGCCACTTCTTTTTCTTTACATTTTTTTTTCTGTTTCAAAGAGAAGCAATCCCTGTTGTGATTTTAGAACTTTTTAAATTGATTAATATTTTGTTTTCCTTAAACATTCAATAGATTTGGAAAAGAAAGGGTCATTGCTCATTAGATTGCTATGCTCTCACCAAAACCGTTTCCTGCTTTCCTTTACAGTAATTCTCAGGAGCCTTCTCAGCAATTGGCTTCATCAGCAGCTTCAACTCGGAGCATGCCGGAGACTCTGGAAAGCCCAAGCTCCAGCAGGCCAGGGGTGGCCAGCCTCACAACTGCTGCTGCCTTCAAGCCCGTAGGATCCACCAGTGTCATCAAGTCACCAAGCTGGCAACGGCCAAACCAAGCAGGTATTTCAGAGAAATCTCTTCTTCCTTGCTTTTCTTAGTGAGTGTAATTAGAAAAATGTGTGCTGGGATCATGTTAAAATTTGCTAGTGAATCCTGTTCTCAACCATCTAAGCTTCAGAAAGGATAATAAAGAACAACTGTAGCTATTTGTTCTGTGAAGTGTCTCATAAATATTTTCTGTATAATAAACTTGCCCTTTGCTATTCATATTATAGAATTGGGCATTCTCTGTTTCCCAGATTACTCATGAAACATGTTTTGAATTGTAAATTTAGCATATTATTTGATAACCAGTTATATTGCTTAAAAATGTAGCATTTTGGTTTTAATGATATATACAAATAACAGAAGCATCAATAACTATGAAACAGTTATTGAAGAAAGGATCTTTTACTTCTTGTTCTCTGGATAATTATGAAGCAGAATAATTATGACATAATACTAGAAAGAGAATACTTGAATGGTAGGATGGAATACCTTGGGCACAACCTGGAAAGCTGAATTCTCATTTACTTCTACAGATGGTAGCTTTAAGTAAAATCATTTAATCTCTTAGACCCTCAGTTTTCTGATGTAAAAAGTGAAGGGACTCTAAAGCATTTCCTTTTCCTCACAAGACGAACAAAGTTTATCGTCATATATGCCTCCGTTAACAGGAAGTTGCAGTTCTGCTTGAAAGTTGCTAATCCCAACCCCAGCTTCATCTCTTTTCACTCTCCATGTTTATTTGTTATCTAGCTATTGATGATTTGCCATCCTTTCTCTGCTGAACTCCATGTCCTCAAACCTATTTGCTGTCCCCTGGTGGCACCTTAAATGCCACATGTCTGAAACTATTATTTTCCATCTCAGTCACCAAAACTAGAACGTAAACTTGATAACTGCCTTCCACCCCATACTCGCAATAACTAATATCAAATGATTCTTTTTAATATTTCTCAAATTTTTTCTGTCATCAAAGCCTTGCCTTGTTTCAGAACCTTGTCATCATTATTTATACAGATTATTTCACAGTGGCATATGTTACATGTTGCCAATTTTACAAAGCTAGAGGTACAGTCATCCTTCAGTATCCAAGTTGTCCCTCAGTGTCCATGATTCCCTGACTCTTTGCAGATACCAAAATCTGCAGATACTCAGGTGCCTTATTTGAAATGACTTGGTATTCACATATTACCTTCTTACATTCTCCTGCATACTTAAATCATCTCTAACTTAATGACTGGAGGGGAAAAAGAAATACCTGTTTAGAAAACACAATTTTTTTCTTTCAAATATTTCCAGTCTGCTGTTGGTTGAACCCATCAGTGTGGAACTGCAGATATGGAGCTCTGAATATATTGGTGTTGGGGGAGAGAGACAGGATAAGACATTATGTAAGATCTAGACCATCTTAAAGAAAAGATTATTTTATTACATTTGAAAACATAAAATGTTCAGACTAGTATTATTTGCCTCTGAAATTTCTGAACTATCGAGATAGCAAGACCTATTGGGGAGAAAATGCTAGCAAAGCTCAGCCACTTTGAGTTATTTCCGTTTACTGAAAGCCTTTGTATGATGATGGAGATTCACTATAATTATTTTGTATGTGCATTTAATGTGAAAAGTAACTTTCAGAAAAATTCCTTTGGTATGTGTGGTATTTGAAAGCTACCAGAATAATGTTTTGTAAAACAGCAAGGAAAAGACCATATATCTGAGGTTGAACTGAAGGGAGGGCAGAAAGTTTTTGTGTACCACAGAACAGAAGTATATGTACTGCTTTTGGAATGAAATTATGGCATTTGCTGGTAAATGGATGGAAATGGAGAATACCATGCTAAGTGAAATATGCCAAATTCAAAGGTCGAATGTTTTTTTCTAATATGCAGAAGCTAGAGTATAATAAAAGAAAGGGAGACCGGAGAATAGGATAACATAAAGATAAAGGAAAGATCAGTAATGTAGGAGTTCAAGAGGCTGAGTGGAGGGATGGGTAAGGGGAGGAAAGAGGATTAATTTTTAGAAAATTATGTTGTATGCATGTATAAATGTATATCAGGTAACCTTGCCTCTATACATAGGTAAAAAGAACCAATCAAATATAAATTAATAGGCCAGTAAAAGGAAGTCTGGTAGAGTAGAGGAAAACGAATGGGAGAGGGGAGGGAGGACAAGAAGGAAAAGTGGGAGGGAAAATCTGGGGGTATCATGAACTGAAATAGAATTTGGTTCAATTTCATAAAAGAAAATATATGTACTGCTTTTGAAAGTTCAGGAATTTATGATCAAAATAACTGCTATGATTCTTTAAAAGAAATCTATTGATATGGAATTCCAGGGGAATACAGTACAACAAAATTACCACAAGAGGGCGACAGAATCCTTTCTTCTCTTAATCTAATTTAATTTTCTTTAATAATCAAAGCAGACAAATCACAGCAACTGCAATCATGATTCATAAGATTAGTATTTGAAATATTTTGCTTTTTTCCAGAAAACCTAAGTAAATTTAACGTGAGCAAAATTATAACAGTATAAAACATTATATATTATATAAGATTATGTAACAATTTTATGAAAAGAAAATGTTTCCCATTGTGAAGTCATAGTTGAATTACATCATAATCCTTAGCTCAAGTCAGAAAATATTTCTTGAGCTTCTTCTATTTATCTTGTTCTAGGTGCTGGAAATAGGTTCTTAATAAGTTGTTATATTAATTATTTGTATTATTTTGTAAAATATTTTTAAGGACACAAAATTCCCAGCCTCTCAAGCTCTTTTATTCTACCTACCCAGAAGTATACCATATTTTTAAAAATAAACAACACCTCAAAATCTATTCTGACTTAGCCTTTGCTAGTCTTAGAGCTTCCTAACACAAGTTTAAAGTTCTTTGATTTAGAGGAGGATCGCTGTCTCCTTGTGGGATCTTGTGCACCTCACAGTTCACCTCTGTAAAGGGTGCCAAGCAAAGGCTAAAAAAGTGAGTGACTGGGCTAGGGCAGGGCCAAATAAAGCAAGAAGGCAAGTGGCAAGTTTCTTTCACATGGAGAATGGCAGACTTCTTTCTTTCGCTAATTGATGGCTGTCCTCTAGTGTCAAGGAGAAAGGGAAAAAAGATCGGATTCTTTTCCCTGCCCCAACCCTGACAGATTACCAAAAACTATTACCACTGAATCATTTTAAGATAATTTCTACAAATTGGACACACACCTGTAATCCCAGGAACTCAGAAGGCTGAGGCAGGAGGATCATAAATTCAAGGCCAACCTTAGCAACTTAGCCAGGCCCTATCTCAAAATAGGAAATAAAAAGGACTGGGTGTGAAACTCAGAATAGAGCATCCTTGGATTCGATCCCTAGTACCAAAATAAATAAATTAATTAATTCCTCCAGGTGGATGGGAGAGAGGGGATCAAAAATTACTAATTATAGTCTGTGATCCACTTGGTTCATTGTAAAATCAGTTTAATGGATTGTTACCAGCATTCGTTTTTATTTTTTATTTTTATTGATACAAATATTTGTACATCTTTATGGGGTATACTGTGATGATTCAATACATGTATATAGTGTGTAATGATGAAATCAGGGTAATAAGCACTTCTGTCTCTTCAAACACTAATTATTTTTACGTGTTGGAAATTTTGTACTCTCCTATGTAGCCAGCGTTTTAAAAAAATAAAATAGCATGGAATAGAAAATACCAGAATATTTTAATGTATTATTTTTAACATTCTGAATTTATGAAAATCTGGTTTTAGTGTATTTACATAAACATGTGAATCCACACATGCACACACATACAGATATGTTTTGGGACAAAAAGTAAAGCATTTTTCTTACTGTGTTTTACATTTTAAAAAATAGTTTAAAGTTACCAGTTTTAATAAGTATCTTAGTCATACTTTTGTTTATTGAGTGGTGACTTATATCATTTTGAAAACAATGAGACAAAACAAAAAAGACTGCGTTGAAAGGCTTGATTAAAATTTTAAGACCTAGGGGCTGGGATTGTGGCTCAGCGGTAGAGCGCTCGCCTAGCACAGGCAGGACCCCGGTTCGATCCTCAGCACCACATAAAAATAAAGGCATTGTGTTGTGTCCATCTACACCTAAAAAAATAAATATTAAAAAAAAATTAAGACCTACCACTGCATTATGAGCCTGTCGTAGGTTTCTGTTACATCCACAGAAATTCTGACTTTCAATCTTAGATCATTTCACTCATGGTGTTACATTGCCTGTGGTAGGCAGAAATCTTTCAAAAACACTGTAATGCTAAACCAGTTGATAACTAGAAACTAGGTGTGTATGGATCAGTATTGTAGTTTAGATTGGATGATCTGCTTTTTCTCAGGAGTATAGTTTAACATACACCTCCCCACCCCGACACAGACACAATCATGCTTACCAGTGACTCACAAAAAGCTAAATATTTTAGGATGCCAAGTGTTCAAAAATTCATAGTCTTGATGAAAATAGTAAGATATAGGAGAAGTAAGAATCCAAGCCTGAGCTTCATGTCAGCTAGGAAACTCCTACCTCTTTACCCTGTGTCTTTGGCAACACTACTAACGTGAACAAGATGTAATAGTCCCTTTAGAAACATTGACTTGAAACTAGAAAAATATATCAAAGGTGAGATTTTTCTTGTTACTTTTCAAAATTGAGCATTTGTACTTTTGTAAACATATTTAAATTTATTATATTTGTTTCTATTAAAATTTTATGTAAGAAAGCTTCATGTTGTATGTAGTTGTATATATGCTGTACATAGTTATTGAGAGGTTCAATATATTTTCAAAACCTTTGTAAATTTAGTGGTAAAATTTGAAAATATGTTTCTGTGTTTATATAGGTGAACTAACTTGCTCTTTAATGCTATTCCTAGAGTCTATGGATACCAGATTAGGTAAATTTAGATCATTGGATGTAAACATATATATAAAATATTACCAACATAGTCAAATGTTTTTCATAAATCCAGTCTTAGTCACAAAGAGCCACTATG